AACATGACGATTATTACAATGTAATATTTCTGAAGAATATTATGTTGACCGCGGATGGGCGCCAGGACGCTTTTTGTTCGTCAAGGATCAGTAAGTATTGTGTTTTCGGTGCACTAGATAAAAGGTAATAAGAAAATGTACAAACAACGTCATGAAAATGCACGGTCATAAGAAATTCAATGGAAATTAAATAGCTTTTTAAGATTTCTCTATCTTTGGAACATACATAGATTGATTAGACAGGTTCGTAAAGTGAAATTTTACGACTGCTGGGCGAATTATTCCAGAACATCAGCTGTTTACAAGCAACTGCATAAAAATGGAACTTTACAAACAATCCGTAACGATGACGTTGTGTAAAGTCAATAACCCGCGCATAAGGATTTAAACCACGTAAACTACTGCATATCAGTGATCTAGATAGCGAAGAAATCGACTGGTCAATTTGACATCGGACATCGATAAAAATATTGTTTTCCATCACAAAAACACGCCTATTAATATACAATGTAGGGAGAGTAAGGGAGGATGCGTTCTTTGTGCTTTACAAAAAAATCCGGCTCATCTGCGAGTTTTCCTGTGTCGTAATGAACCGTCCGGAAATCGCATTGGAATCGCAAGCGAGCAGCGAGAAGAAAGCCGCAGGCCAAACAGCACGTTTCCATGATGCGTTCGTTTGCAAATTTTCTTTTGATGAGGCCGATGCCGAGGCTGCTTTTCGCATTTCGCTTTTGTGGATTCGCCACCAGCCACATCGTTGCTTTGCCGCCTTCTTGTTTATTTGTATCGACGCCGCAACGTCACAGCATCGCCTTCCATTTTCCATGGATGGATTTCCATATGCCGGCTTTCTATGTCTGCCTCACGAAGCGAACCAAACTGATTCTCCTGTTCTGTTTGATCTTTCATCTTGCTGCTCTATACGTACTCATACACATATTCCCTGTAGGGATTTTTATCAAGGCGTATTTTGCCTTCACCACTATACTACCGCTTCTGCAGACCAGTTTGTATGATTGAATAATCCGGAAAATCGAACTCGGAGTTATTCGAACAGAAAAAATATTTCATATTCCTTTAAAGGTAATCGTACTGGTGTATTAAACACTGATTCACTCGCTTGAAGGCAAACATAATTTTTGGTTAATTCAAAAGGTTTCTTTTCAAGAGTAATCGGAAATTATTCACTGACTTCATAGTAGACCTTAAGGTCCCTTATTGTGAATAGGTGTGTCAAATATCGAAAGAGGCAGCCTTTTACATTCATTACTAATGGGTAGGTCGCTGTATTCCATGAGGAATAGAATGAGTCTCATGCGGGAGACTGTGACCCAGGTTTTATAAATGGAAGCGTACGAAAACACTACCACCAAAAAAATGAAATTTTCGATCCATCCAAAAAAAAATTCCAAAGCTGAAACGTGTACGATATCGTTGGAAATGAGAAGAAATGGTCTTAAATATCGAATGAGACTTAAGTACCCCAAATGATCTCAAGAGTAACTCCTTTGAGTAATTCAGAAATGAAGGAAAACGATGGATTTTATTCAGGCAACGTAGAGGAATGCCCTGACAATGAAATTTGCAAATAAAATCCTTGCCTAGTGCGCAATTCCTAACAGAGGAGTATCCCAACCTTTTGTGGAAACAATGCGGCGAAGCTTTGAATAGTCAGAGCTATATTGATGACGAACATCATGCCAATAACCATATCATGTTCACGGCATTTTCTCCCAGTGATAATCAAAGGAAAAGTAAACAAAGCCAAGAAATCTTCCTGAATGCCTTTCAAGGCTTGCCAGAAGCATGCTAAAAGCCTTCTAAATTGATCCTGAATACGAATCGATCGAGACATGCGGAGCAGTTGAGGCTAATTTATTTAGACAATTAATTTACGTAGAAGGTGGCTGTGACAAAGAAAACAACGAAACTGCCCACGCAGGCACGTCTTTTGTCTTCCCATAATCGTTCCATTAATATTTCTCTATCATTCGGTTTCACTTTGGTAATATTAGTCGAAATTCGAAATTGATTCTAACGTTTGAAATTGTTAAGTGCATTATACAGGGTGTACCGTTATGGTAGTCATTATTGGAATGGGTTATAGGGGGCGGTCAAAACGAGTCAAAAAGTTCATATCACCCATGGTCCAAAAGTCAATAGATTTTTGTCTAAATGGCTTTATAATTTAAGTGCTTTATATCGACCACAATCTTACTAATTTTGATAATCTAAAACGTTTTTGAATTAGGTAAATAACAAATAAATGGCATTAAGTTAAATAAAATAAGATATCGTAACGTCATCTACGAGAACTTGTCACAGCTATGTCTCTGTTTACTATGTATATTCTGAAAAGGTTTCTCATAGATGGCGCTTTAGCGAAATGTATGCTTGTATATGCTCATATAGGCACGAACATTTTCTAAGTATATATGGTAAATAGATAAGTAGTTGCGACAAATACTCATAGAGGACAGAAGTTAGCGTCTGTTACCTAGCTAGTAGAAATTTTCAATTGACAAATAAGCATGTTACCCTATACTCCTTCGCCAACATGAAACTTCCGAAAAAGTTGGATTAAAACTTCATCGCGAGATATCGGATATCATATATTGATATCAAATACCGCTTTATTCTCTGTACGAAGAAGTTATGAAGTCTCCGGTTCGAGCTCGGGTCTGCGGTTGCTGCCGCCTTCAAAACGAGTTAAGGAAACCAACAATGGGAGTTTCCACGGGATAGATGAGGGAAAAACGAAGAATAGGACATACGTTCGCTAGAACTATTTGTCTGACTTTGCCGGTATATATATGAACTTATTATATCCAGTAGGTACTCGGGAGTTATGAGGCAAATTTATAGACCAGTTAAGAAGGAGAACATTAATGTGAATCTCGTGAAAATCAAAAAAGGTACTTTTAAAAATGAGTATATGGTAAGAAGCCTGCCAGTAACACTGACTACTTAGCATGCCGTATCACATTCTTTTTTATACACATCAGATCATGCTTGCGCTGTCTAAAAGAAACCAGTATAATTAAAGCGTCAGTAAACCAATTTTCTGTAACATTAAGCAAGCAATGCCACTTTTGGCTCAAGAATCGCATTAACTTTCATATTTAGTAAACCACATTTGAGTGTATGCTCGTATATGTATATACCTCTAGAGCTGGAGTGAAAACGCTTCTGCTTTTAACGTATTTTAATAAATAATTAAACTGAAATTCATAATTACGTAATGGAACTTGGAAGATTCTGAAAGTAAGTTTTTGGCGAAATGAGATCTGCGAATGCTGGGCTAACGAAAGGAAGATCTCGAGAGATGGAGCGGTGAATTGATTCCGAGGCGTGTTTTATACAGCATCGACTTTTAAAAGTTTTCAGACTTATGAGGAAAGTTGGCCTGGTCGTAATGTCACTTTTATTGAAAATCGGACTAAGGATAGATATGCAGCCGCCATCCTTTTATCTCCCTGTTCTGGAAGTGCCCTTTATTCCAATTCCAAATTTATATCTACAACTTTTAATTCGGCCGAAACTTGAATAAATAATAAAATTTGAAGTTCGAGAAAATGATGAAGAAAGCAATGCCTCGTACAGATGAGATGGGTCGATAAAATGCCAGAAAATAATGTAAATCACCCACGGAAACAAACATGAAATCATGAAGCATCCAATTTGAAAAATAGCTATTATACAGAGTGCGGCAGAGAGGACGCACGTTTTTGGGATGCCTCCGTCTACGAGAGAGGTGGGGAGGGTGCCGTTTGACTCGTGAGATCCTAGCATTATTTTACCAGTTGTCGTTATGGAGCTTTGGACCGCGTTTTCGCCTATGATTGTTTCGTCCGAAATAATGAGTCAGTCATCGTCGTACAGCGTGAGTTTCATCGGAATAGAGCTGTTCCCTCTCGAAACACCATCCTTCGTTGGGTTGAATCACTTCGCAGGCGTGGTGAACTGATCAACAGAAGACCAAGAGGAGCGCCGCGAACAGTTCGAACTCCTGAAAATGTTGAACGCAGTCCGACTCGATCTGCCCGGAAACATGCTGCTGCACTTCGCCTTAGTGATCGTTCGTGAAGCGTTGCACTGATTTGACATCGCATTCGGAATCTACGCACCCAGTTTACCTAGACGCACAATACGTTTTGGAGATTTTTCATTAGTATTTTTTTATAAGTAGAATTCCCGCTAGTATCTCAAAAACGAGGCATATCCGAACCGCAGGGGTCCCGAGTCCGATTTCAGCGACCCAAAAAGCGTATTATACGGATGACCTCTCAATGTTCGCAAACGTTTATCTTGTTAAGCCTCTATTATTCGGCTTATGTGGTTGTGGTGTTTATAATTCAGGTGGCGCTCTCGGGTAGTTCTTAAGAAGTTGGACCGTTTCGGCCCGTTCCCGGAGCAGCGCAGCCGAGGGTTGCCGGGAGGGTGGAGGGTGTTGTAATTCCGGGCGCGACACAAACTTTCCGGAGATTTGCCCGGAGCAAAGCGAAACGTTGCGCCGGCCACAAAGCTCCAACGCAACGGGGAGTTTCGCGTAAAAATTATTAGATGATGATCGGCAGGTTTTTCCTTTACGTGGAATATACAATAATTCAAGGATGACGCAACGTTTTTATACGACCAAGTAATGTCCAACGAGAAAGAATCGTCTTCTTCAAACAATACTTCTTTGAAGGTAGTCTACAATAAGTGAATACAAACTTTCAATTTAGACAATGATCAAAAGGTGCACTTTATAAATCTGAAATATCGCTTGAATCTTGATGTTTAGATTGTCGCGTTAGGAAATACCTATAGACAACGGTAGAAATAAGGGAACGATTGTGGGGATCGCAACCCCGAAGTAAAGCAGCATGTGGAAACTTAAATATTCCGACGGATAGAACGTAGACGAGTGGGGAGCTGGCGCTGGTTCTCCGTTCTATTGTCTCATTAAGATTAATCTGTTCTTAACAAACAACGAAGTGACAAATAGTTGGATTAGTCGCGACGGTGAGTATCGTCTGCATCTCAGTTGGCGATGAGGCAGCAAACCATCATTTGTTATTCTTGTCTCGGAGAGGGCGACGCGATACAATTTCGTTGCAGCGTCGCTGCCGATGCAAACGCAGTCGCAGACAGCCGAGCGCTAAATTAGAGTCTCCTTTAAGGTGATTAATACAGAAACGTATTAATATCGGTATTGCTAATTATTGTATCTTTGTCGCTGCACCGATTTGATATTTGCATCTCTACGTAAATTATATATCAATTGTGTGTTACTTTATTACGAGGTAATCGGCGTCCACTTTGTGTTCCGCACCGTAAGTTAGGAAATATCAATTAACACAAGTCAATGCTGCGAAGTTCAATCGGAGGCACATTTCAAAAGTCAGCTTTGTTGACGTTTTGCCAAGGATCCGCGTATTTCGCTCTTAGACGACTCTTCATTTATGGAGGCGGTGTTGCCAAATTGACAAAAAATGTTGATAAAATGCTACAGTTATACTGACTTAAATGGAGCTTAGTACTTTCTCACAGTTCTTGGTGGTTACGTCAAAAAGCCGTACGAAATAAATAAACATGTCGTCATACGGCCAGGCTGCTTAGGTAACTGATATTGTCAAATACATCGACGATTGAGATAATATGCAATTCGAGGTTAGAAAAAATTTAAATGTCAAGCTGACATTCCTCTTTTACTACTTTAACTACCTTTTGCTCGATCGTACCTTCATTATGAACGTTTCAATGATTAAGTTTTGGTTGTTCCAGGTCGGCCTACAGTAAGCCCAACGAACAAAAGCATAACCGCCGTTCATAGTCAACCGTTGACGCTGACCATGGAATTCTGTGCCAACCCCCCATACCAAAAGGCCATCTGGATAGCCAAAGACACGAGAGTGTACAAGCCGGGCGATGCTGATAACACTGTCATAGCGTACGGCATCACGGTAACTATACTTTTCAATTGTAATAATTTTATCAACTAAAACCACAAAATCAACGTAAACGCACCTGAAAGATTTAAATGCGCCAGTTATCAATCAGAATTCGAAACTACTCTTACATGATCGATCCTAGAACTCACATATACAGTTTGACTTTGAAGTTGAGTCATTAATTTTCAGATAATGATTGTAGAAGGAAGATAAACCAAAATATGTGTGTAAAAATAAAAAAAAATTATAAAAAAAAATTTACCTTGTTTTATAAAGTATCCTCTCGACAAGTATTTCAGTGCGGACCCGTATTTGATCGTGAGGTCTTGGAGCACCGGCATGCCGTCACCTGATTCACAAGCCCGTTGTACTACATTAACAAAGGCACGAGGGGTTGGTTGCACTCGATTGGGAAACTGATCCGCATTAACATGTGCCATTTTTTATTTCGTTTGAGCCACGCAACAGACACCACTATTCACTGACACTGACTGTATACAAATGAATAAAATAATTGTAAAAACATCGTTCCAAATTCTTTCGCTTTTTTGTTTCCGATGCGATGAACCGATACGGCGGATTATATCCGTTGTCGCCAAACACGAGCACATAAGATTATTATTGAGACAGGGCGGTACTCAAACTTCCAAAGGGCTATAACTTTGTTACTTTAATTTTACCAGAAAAATGGTAAAGGAAAAAAACATTTCTTTTGATCAGATCTACTCACTGTTAAAATAAATGACTCAACTTCGAAGTCACCCTGTATAATCCAAATCTTAACATTAAAGGTATCAAAAACATGATTCCTTACTATCTTTACGAGAAGAAGCTACTTTTATTTCTCAATGTACCTTTATATCCCTTATTCAATTTTTGGAATCAATCCAAATAGGGAATGAAAAGTACGTGTCCAATAAAATTTACCTTTTTGTATTAAAATATTACGATATGAAAATATCAACATTTAAAGAGGTAGTAACTGACTTCGTTTTTCTAAATTTTATTGATCTGGGTATATATGTAGATTACGCAAGTGTGGAGAACAACTCGCCTCGAAAAACTTTGTATTTCTTTCAAGTACAATTTCGTAGTAATATATTATCATTTCAGAACACATCTGATCCAAACTGCCACCAGGCGGTGTTGTTCCTGCCTCGCGTGTCCTCGTCCGATCTGGGCGAGTATAGCCTGATCGTAAGGTCGGCCGCGGGCGTGGCCGAGGGTAGCTTCCACCTAAACATGACCTACGCGAGCGGCCTGAACGAGCAGCGGGACCAGGAGGCCCGCGGACCTCGCGCACCCTTCGTAGATGGCGTCCAAGCGACGTCGGGACAAGCGAACAGCCCAGTGCCATTACCGCTACACAACGCCAATGTGATCATTTTACCTTCTGTCGTTCTCGCATCGTCACTATTCCAGTACTGTTATTATTATTGATACTGATTGTCGACTGATCTAGATTATATTATTACATATTTACATCCATATATCCTCACACCTCACATATACAACGTTCATATTGTATACACTGACGGGTCCGGCAGAGTGGTACAATTCTGTTTCGGTGTTGTTCGTAGGCTAAACGCATTCGACCGATTAAAAAAAAAATAGCGTTCTTTCAATAATAGTGGCGCTACCACCGAGGCATTATCTTTTCGGTGCTTTTATAATTTATCATTTTTTGGTGATACTGTTGGCACGGCTGTTTACCTTTCAGCTCTGACCTTACACGGAATAACCTTTAATGAAGGTTTTGTCGAAGACGAATTTCAGCCTGCGAAAAATACTGTAGTAAATTATGAGGAAATAGGTTGCGAAAGTTTTTTGTCCATTGGATCTACAAATCGAAAAGGAAAACACAAAGCTTATTACAAATGTGTATTGCGCAGTCTCAAAAATTAATTGTCGAGACTTATTTAACTGAACCGATTGTACTACTTTCGCAGAACTCCTACGAATTTGACCTATAAAAAGAGAAATATGATGTGAAATGGCTTTGCTCAGTCATATTATAGAGAATGTGAAATTTATTGATGAAGAAAAGTTCATTGTTCAGACGTAAGTTGACAAAAAATATTTTGATTATGCCACGAAGACCCCTACCGGCCTTTAAGATAGAAAAAATGAATTTGTTCAATAGTTCAATGGTTCGACAACTCTGACGATATAGTTTCATCGTGTCTGAGCAAAACTAATACAAAATACAGAATTTTTCCAAGCGATGAATTCACTGTAGAATCGTTGTTTAGATAGTCCGAACGTCGTTCACAATTTGGCTGGTAAAATGAAGTAAAAAAAGCCACTAATTGGTATACTATGATTCCGGTCGGAGTTTCAAAGTTAACCTGCAAATTATCAAAATAAAACTTTGTAGTAGATCTGTATAATATGTGCGATTATCACACACGGAAATATTTGTCTGTATGTCATTTTTCAAAATTCCGAAAGGTATAATAAAACATTTGCACAATAATATCTGACATAGGTCCATCGAAAACCAGAGAATCTAGAATCTTGACGAAAATAAAAAGGTGTACGGCAGCTCTTTATGAAGCTGAATTCATAGAGAATTTTACTCACTGTATGTTTGATGTTTTAGCATATTCATGGCCAAAATACATAATTGTGAATGGATGGAACGAGGCGGAAACTGCCCAACGCATTCATGTTTTCATTATTTGATACTGAACTCAAAACACCACATATTTTATAAAAAAAAATATAACATATATTTTACACCTCATGGTTAGTATATCCAAATTTATTGAGATGTTACGACGATATTCTTTGCTGTTTGTATGTATACTTCGATGTAACTTAGGAAAATGATTAAAACACCTTCTTCGTTAATATTTTTGTAGGAGGAAATAAAAACTATGACGTATTTTAAATGTATAGTTTTTTATTGTTTTGCAAAGATGTGTATAAATTTGTTAATAGAGGGCGCTTATATGTATAAATTATTGTAAGGAATGATAATAAAATATACGTCCAAATACTTCAAAGCATTTTATTTTCATAGCTTTCATTTTTCACAAAGCGACACAAATTTGGTTCGTTTTGCAAATGAAGTGAGACGATCCAAACAGAGACGAATCACTAAATTTATTTAATTCAGAGTTATAATTCCTCACCAGGCGTGCGAAGTGAAATGTAATTCTTTAATTTATGAGACTACACCCAACACTAAACAATTTTGTAGTTTACTGACATGGATCGCCGCAAGAATACAGATATTATCAAAGGTAAAGATCTCACTCAAACAATAAATATCTACTTTTTTAAGACAGGATTACGTTAAACAATGTTCTAATTTTCAGTAAAAAGAACGAGCAATAAACTGAGCAACCTGCAGAGAAGCGAGCACAAAAGAGAGTGTGTGCAAAACAAACGCACCTTTGGTAACAGTAAGAATCACGTTAGTGGAAATATATATTTTTCTGTCGGATTTAAGACGTTTGCGATATTCCACGTTCTAGACGCGTAATAACATTGTCTGTGGTAAAATCGGCTTGTCTAGCCCCGCAAATAAAATGTCTACGGGATTCCGATGCGCACGCGCGATTCTTATCGATCCGTTGACATACCGGCGCACTTGAACTTTGACAGATGACAAAAATTGATATTGACCAAAAGTCAAAACATTTGTTTAAAATTACATCAATCTATTTCTTATCATTCAGTATGTAATAGTCTAAAAAAAATGTTTGGTATTTTCTCGTCAATCACCTCGTTCGTTAGACTAGGCCCTAGAGAATATATACGACAAAAGTACAAGTTGCCGCTAGTCAAATTCATACATGACACTGTCAATCTGTACAAATCTCGAACCAAAGCAGGGGTCCACAATGTTAGAGAAGTCTTGTTTCGGGGCACCGTGATAGCGTTGATTACGGCTCTATTAGTATGGCTCTCAGTATTTATGTATGTAGCTTTCTATTATGTATATGTGCCCACAATATCACACGAAAGACCTGTATACCTCAAATTCAAGTGAGTACACCTATGATTGCAGCTTATTATTTATTATTGTTATTGTTTGTTTTATATTGTATAGCAGAGCCTTAAAATTACTAGTCTCTCCAAGATGAATAAGTGAAATATGAAAACCCTGAAGACTTAAAATTATAAAGAAGAGACGGGAAAATATATATTAGAATAGATGAAGAGAACTACAACATCACCATTCATATGTTATCTATCACTCATTTTGAATAACCTTGTACATACGAGATTGTGTGTTTGTGTGATTAAAATCTTATATCTCATTGTGGTCTCTATAGAGAATGTTTTTGAATCTGAGCATTGTGACTAAACATACCACAATCATCTAATATCATTAAATCTCAAATTATTTTAATTACAGGCCATGCGGTGCAAGTGACAATTGTTCTGTAGAAAAAGGTATTTGCAGTTTCCCATCTGCTCATGTTCAGTTGACCAAGAAGCAACAACTCTTGATGATGGGACAGGCTTACAAGATACATCTCGATTTAGAAATGCCTGAATCACCAACTAATAGAGAATTAGGTGTGATGATGATATATGAGCCCCTTCCCAGTTCAGTTGGCCCAACTATTGAAGTATTAGTTTTCTTCTTATCAAACACAAATAATAAAAATGTAGCAGTTTGTTATAGGTTTAAAATATTAACAATGAATATTTTGATAATATATAGTAGAAAATGCCAACTTTATCACTCCCTAAGCAAATTTGCAGCATAAAAATAACACATGTTGCAATTACAGCATATCAACCTATTTTCATTTCAATGCAAAATAAGTCTACAACGCAGAGGTGGCTGTGAAAAATAAAAGCCATGACAATTGTTTTTATTAATCACAGCTGTCAGAATACTTTTAAAATAGTTTTGGGTCGAGGAAAGGTTATTAGTGAGAAAATTTGGTTACTGATAATTAAATTTTTTAATTCTGGGAAATCAAACTCAGAAATTGCAACTTTGTTAGACTTATCGCGGTACAGTGTGAGAAATATTGTTTGAAGATATAACGTAACTGGTTCAGTTAATATTAAGCCACGATATGTGAAAAAAAGTAATATCACATATGCTGACTGAAGAGCATTAAGAAGAATAATCGTGAAAAACAAGCGTGCCAATTATTTACAATTAAGTACTCAGTGGAGTGGCGCTGTTGGAAGGAGAATTACGAGGTCCGCAACTCATAGAGAGGCCCACAATCTGGGATTTAGCACTGGCAAGGTAAGTTTTCTTATAAAAAAAAGTTAAGTAAAAACCCAAAGGTTACACAACTTGTTTATACGCCAAAGAAAAGCCACTATTAACTCCACTGCAAAAGAAAAATCGGCTTTGATGGGCTAAAGAACATAGGCAATGGACACCTTAACAATGGTGTGCAATACAATGGAGTGATGAAGCCCGATTCGAAGTTTGCGTTGGTGACTGTCACAGTAGAGTTATTCGCAAAAAAATGAAGCATTCCATGTTGACTGTCTGAAGAGAAAAATGAAATTTCCAGCATCCATTATGGTCTGGGGCAGTATGTCATCAAAAGAAGTAGGAAAACTTCATTTTATTGATGGAAATGTGGATACAAACAAATATTTGGCAATTTTAGAAGAATCGCTTTTACCAGTGATGGAAGAATGTTTGATATCTGGCCAAGATTTTATGTTTCAACAAGATAATGCAGCATGCCATACCTCAAAAAAGGCTATAAAATGCATGGAAGAAAATAATGTACCACTTTTGAAATGGGTTTCTAACAGTCCAGATCTGTCACCTATTGAAACTTTGTGACACAAGATGAAAAAGGTTCTATGACAACGTCCTGCTCGTACAATCACCGAACTGAGACTAAAGCTTCAAGAAATATGGGATTGTTTTACACCAACTTTTTGCCAAAACTTGGTTAACACTATGCCCCAAAGAATTTCAGCCGTAATAAAAAATAAAGATGATGTTACCAGTGGTAATTTTTCAATTGTTGCTTTCTTAACTTCGCGCATTTAATCGCACATTGTTTATTTGTTCAGATGCTCTATTAGTTATACGTCTAAGTGATTTTAAATATGTATTTTTTTACGACTAGAGTGTATCTAAAATGTTTTTGAGAAAATAAATTGTTTTAGAAGTATGTAAATAGTTTCGTCATGTTTAGTTTATAAAGGCATATTTTGGTACAAATCTTGAAGTGGGCCAACTGAAGTGCCAAGGGGCTCGTAGTAACCGGTTTAGACATGATGGGTAGCGTCGTTCATACCTAACGGTACTTGTCTTGTTTGGTTTCCCCATAACATATTTTTGTGTATATGTCCAGAAGCACTATACAGAATATCTGGCCGTGTTAAGAAAAAAAGTTTTGATGAAATACTTAATTGTGAATGTTTTCAAACAATTTTGCCGACGTGACATGACGTATTTTCAACTGCACGATTATGCTTCATTTGGGTGATCTTATGTTTATATATACTTTTCGATGCATTACAATTGTATGCTGTAATTACTAGATAAAAAAAGTTCAAGTTCAGTTATGTCAAACTTTTGATGGGGATTCATTCAGCTCAATTATAAATATATAAATGGCGTCAAGTAGGTTGACTTATATTTCTCACGCAACCTCCATGAAGGAATATGTCAGTCAAACAGATCTAATTAGTCCATAGACATTATTTCCCTGCCGTACCAGTCGCGCGTCTGAATCCTAACT